CACATACACACACATATATTAATAATACAGATATATATATTATATAAGTATAGTATTAGGTACATATATATTATATATATATTATTATATAGTATATATAGATAATATATAATATTAAATATTATGATATCGATAAGTATAATATATATATAATATATATATTATTTTATATTATCTTGTATATATAAGCATATATATATATTTATATAAATTATGTTATTATATTTATAGTATATTTATTATATATATATATATATATAATATATATTATAATTTGATATTGATATGTTTAATATAATAATTATATATATATTATATATAATATTATTATATATAATATATAATAAATATCTAATTAGTATATATATGTATAATTTATTATTTAATATTAATATTAATTATATAAATAATATATATATTATATATTATTATTATATACTATATTAATTTAATAATATATATATATATTACTTTATTATAATATTATAATATTTAAATATTATGATTATATATATTTAATATACATATATAAACATATATATTATATATATATATTATGAATAAAATTATAATATTGTTACAACTAATATATAACACACACACTTAACATGCTTATATAATTATAGTGTTTAGGTATAATATATATTATATATATAATATTATTTAATATATATATCATTATATCACTCCTTTTATATGTTCTACGCTGCTCATTAATTTACATACATATGGTATCAAATAACAATACATGACCATGCATACATATAATACATTACATACATACATAATAATATATATATATATGATTAATATATTAAAATTATATATCTACTTAGTAAACCATATAAGGCAATACTGTTATTATCATTATATATATATATTCGCATTATAATACAGAATAGAAATAATTATTACTAAGTTGCATCAATTATATGATAGGCTATAATTAAATTGTTATTATATATCATTATACTTTTTATGTCACCCGTTAATAACATACATTACATGAGTATGGATAGTGTATAGGGGTAATAATAATAAATATGTTCACTTATTTCTATATTAATATATATATACATTATTTATCCAGAGTATATAATTATTTCAAATAAAGCTTTAATATATTATTAGGGTAGAGAATATATTATATTGATGATGTGTGTAGTGTGTGATTGTGCGTGGATAATAGTACTATATTTTTATACTAGTATACGAATTTATGCTAAAATTATATGGTATATTATCCTGTACTCATAATGACATAATTCGATTTATATTTATTAATTATATTATATGACTACTGCTTAAATGTAATAAAATATGTATTATATATATATGATATATATATAGTATATTTGACATGGTTTGTATTATATATATTGATGTAGTGTGTGTGTGCGTTGTATTATATTATATGGTAGTAGTTAGATATTAATATATATATATTATATTGTAATATTATTTTATTATTTTTTATATAATATAAAATATATATAAATTATATATATTATATTATTTATATATATATAAGTATATTAATATAGTTTATTTTATATATAAATAAAATATTACACTAAAGTACCAAAATAAGTGGCAGGAGGATTTAATTTTTATATTATATTTATTAGATTACTTGCTCTTAATGATTATTATTATTGTCATTTTATATTATATGATCTTAGTATGCATTAGTAGCTCTTTTACCTACGGATAGTATGTATTTATTTATTTTTTCATCCCATACAGATACTTCTTATATTATATTCCCCTGTATATATATATCTTATATATAATACTTACTATATATATAATATACGTCCATCTCTACATATATATTTCTCTAATTATAGCAGATAGCTAACACGGTAAGTTGGACAGACTCAATCATAGTCTTAATACAGTACAGTCTGAACACACTAAATCATTATATATTATTTATATGGTATCATTAGGCTACTAGTACATTATATTATATTATGTGTGTGTGTGTGTGTGTTGTGTGTGTGTGGTTGTGTGTGGTGGGTGTGTGTGGGTGTGGTGGTGTGTGGTGTGGTGTGTGTGTGTGTGTGTGTGTATACACACGAACTATCAGAGTATATATAATCACCAACTAACAGCACACATAGGCACTACTCACAGGCACACACACATCACATATATATATATACATATCAATTACATATATATATATATATATAGTATATATACAGGCAACACAAACTAATAATCAACTATAGAATGTACATATAGTATCTATCATAATAATCTATTAGATACTAATACACTATTATTATTATATTACTAAACATATGACAGCATACAATATAAAATAACGAACACAGTATATAATCATATTATATATATATAAATATGCTATATATATATAACTGCATCATAACATATAATATTAACACACTCATATATTATATAACATATATATATATTACATAATTAAGACCACCATATACAATATCTACAGTATATTTCTACAACTAATTAC